ATTCATAATTACATCATAGTTGTACATTCTTCTATTCTTCCTTAGTCATATATCACTATAGTTTTATCATTTCAGTTTCATTTTCTAGGCTAGCTTTTTTATTCATCACGTCTTTCCATGACTGGTCTTCTTACATGACTTCCAAGTCATTGTTTCAGTAAAAAAAGGCGTCTGTAAGGGGGTAGCGAGGTGTCGGGATGTTGCTGACTCTGTGTTGCCGGCCTCACGGCCACGGGGTACTTTGGAGTCTCTGTCCCTGGCATGGATGTCCTAGCGACGATTCCGAGTCTACTCTCTCCAAAGTCCTCCCTTTGGCTTCTTGTAGCTCTTTTCCAGTCTTTTTACGTTTATGTGCGGGGACAACGTTTCTTTCTTTGTTGTGTCTTCGTTCGTTTCTGGCGAATAACTGATATATACTTTAGTGGGATGGAAATTTGTGAACTAATCTTTAACTTGACATCCTCTTGGTATCCCACGGTCTACCCTGTGGTCTCAAAATTATAATCTATTTCGTGTTTGTTTGATTCTCTGAAATTGTCTATATTATAAATTACCCTAACGTACTATCTCTCTCCAAAATTAAACTAATTACAGACATTTGTGTAAATACTTACATCTCAGGGATTTTACATATTGATTTTCGTTAATGTCGATAATTTGCGTCCTTTTCAGTGGATATGAGTAATTGGTTACCTGCATAAAAAGAAATGACAAAGTATACAATAGTACATATTTACAACAATAATATGACATTCAAGTAAACGTTACGGACCAATCGTACGAAAGGTTAAACCTAGTTAATCATAAAGTCGATTAAATTAAACAGTGTAAAAATTCGTCAATAACATTTATTAATAAAATTTCTTTTTACTCAATATGGAAAACAAGTAATACTTAAACAGACTATTTATATAAGGAAAAACAATATGACCAGGGACCGAAAGACATTAAACCGTTTACATGCCATTGAGGTGTGCCGTCACAGAGCACGCAGTGCCTCTGCGAAGGGTAAGTGAAACTTTACCCCCTCAGCGTGCGAAGAGCTTGCGTAACCCCAAGGTAACGCAGCCGAAACGAGGCAACGAGCGAAGCTTTAACTCTTTCAAGGTTGAAAGTTCGGTAGTTTACATATAAGTCATGTTCGCGATCGGTTGAGTTGGCCCGAACAACGTCAGGCCGCCGCCCTTACTGGGCCGTTCGCAGGTTGCCTGCGCGGTACACCTGCACCAGGGGAATGTGTCTAGATCAGTAGTATTTCTTCGCTTTACCGACGGGAGTATCACCACTTTTAATCATAGCATTTTTTAGTAACAGGGACAAAAGAATGTCCCAATCATGATCCTTGGGTCAGGCTAGGCTGGTGTCGGTCACTCACGGTCAGGTGGAATTTTCCGATTTTATAAGTTCTATTTTCTACGTGTTTATACAGAAAGAACTAGTAAGGTGAAATGCTCCAATTGCTATATAGATAAGTCCACGTAATATGACTTGAGCATGGTTGTAAACTTGGTTGTACAGACAAAGACGTCTCTAGTCCTCCCACGTCCTCTGTGTCCATGTTGTGTATGAAAACCTGTGTATAATAAAGGTCCGGACTAAATTCTTCCTTGTTCATTGTTATACCCTACAAGGAAGAGAAATATGTCGCCTACACCTGAGACTGCCCTTGTGGCGAGTGGGGTCTGACTAAGAAGTCTCCTGGACGTTCTCGCAGTCATAATTTATGTATGAGTTTAGGTAGCTTGTTAAAATGTTAGATTTTCTTCACAGTTTATTCCTAATTTTACGTACTTTCGAAAAAAAAGCGAGGACAGAATATATAAAACAATTAATTCGTTTAGCCATAAAAAGTAGAGCAATACTACTCACTACACCCTAGAACTTTACGGGCACAGGATATACATTTTTTTTTTGGTAAAAATCCGATTATAAAATCTCTTGACTACATATCATAAGGGGCATAACAGAAATTACATTTTTCTTTTTCACAATGTTAACACCATTCAAAAGGTACAAAACGTAATTAATAACCAAAAAAAACAAACTTTTATTGAAAATTTTATAAAATAGGCGAAAAAATGGTCACCGTAAATTTCATAAACCCTGCGAAGGGCGAGGACACAATATGTAATATATGTACGGATACTTAAGACATATGTGATTTATAACCTTACACAACACCACACACACACGCGTCCACGTACACCTCTGCGGTGGTCAACCGAGGTATGGGGCTCTCCAACTGCCACACACACACACCCCTCTCTCTCGTAGAGTGACCCTCCGTGATGCCGCTCCATCTCCGGATTTGATCGAAATATTTTGTCTTGTGTGAAAAAATGCCCCTCTTATGACCGGACGTTCACTGTGCCTTTCCGTGTAAAACACAAATACGCTCCCTGTCTATGTATAACGTACTATAAAGTCTTGAGATTGCTCCCCTGTTAGCACCAAAAAACCCACCGTCACGACCTTTTTTATAACAAAATACTATTCTTCAAGTCCATTTTTCGGCCCGTCACCGATTCGTCATCCTGGAACGAACCTTGGCATCCCAGCGGCAAGTTCCAGGGGCTTGTCTGGGATTATACCTCATACCTGACCTATGACCTCTCCAAGTTTCAGTGGGGCCCGGGACGGTACAGACGAGGTCTGCTCATATCCCAATTTCGTCTGAGGTTAATACCAAACAGTCTCACTCCCCCCCCTTCTGCCGGACCCGGACCCGCCGGGCTGGTCAGGTAGTTGTCCTTCCCTTCTAGCTCCATGATTGTTGTATGGCGCTGCACAAAAGAATTTTACAAGAGAGTCGCTCACGTACTGAAAATAGCACTTGTTACGCATGATCTCGAAAGTGACGATATGTTGTTGTAAAGAGATATATAGGTTTTAGAGTAGGCTGGGATACAGTGTTCTTTAGGTACTCTGCATACACTGCATATAGTTAAGAAGATTTCTCATTTAGACTGGTAAAGTGTTCTGTCAGCATCGGAAATAGAGAGTTTTAGACTGAAAAAATTTTAGAGTTAGCAACTGAAAGAGCTGTTTAAAAGAACTGTGAAATAGATACTTCATGATGTATTTTTCTTGTCTCAATTGTAGTGATAGCGGCGCGCTACGGGGGACTCTGAGACTTCGACGTCTGAGCGGAGATGCCGTAGGGGTACGTGATACTAGGCCCACTCGCTAAGAAGGCTACCTCTGACTTCGTCAGTTACGTGTTCCTGATAATCGCTACGTTGTAATGTTTGAGTTTCAAGGGCTGTAGACAGAATATTGGGTGTACGAAGCATTCTCAGGTATGTTCATATTTCGCGCATCAAGTTGTGTCTGGTCGCTGTTTACTTCTCCTCCTTCGATATCATTTCGTCCCATTTACACAGTATACTATACCTCGCATATGTTCTAAAATTCCGCATAGTGCTCGCTAGTCTTTAACTTTCGCGTTTCGCAAATCTATGTCTCTGATCGAGATGTAGCCTAGTAATTTCTCGCACTCTAGTAGTTATCAATTTTCCGTGATCCCTGTCAATCCCCTATTATTCCGATTCCAATCCCTGTCACTTCCCCTCATTAATTCCCATTCCAATTCCTGTTAATTCCTGATGCTTAATATTCGTCCCGTATACGGTTGAAGTCTGCTCCTTTGGGACTCACGGACGATTCCCTTGTCATTTCAGTGTGTCTGATGATGTAACTTCGATAAGTGTAATATCCGCTCGTACCATATACCCTATAAGTTCCATATACAATATATACCCTGTCTGCAAAGTCTCTCTCTATATAATTCCCACTTCTCCTGTACCCTATGCCAATTAACAGCTAGGTTTTATTTCGTATCCGCAATATGTTCTGGCCTGTTTCGACTAAC